GTCAAGGTACTGGAACCACTTTGCAGGACAGCGTGTCTGGTCAGCACCAGACAAATGGAGTTGCAGAAAGAATGGTGCAACTCTTCGACGTCAGGCACTGTGTCACATCCAGATGCTTCAGGAACGCGCTGGTCTAGGAATCAGCCACCAGGAACCAATTTTCGCATGGGCCTTTCGCCATGCAGCGTGGTGCCTGAACCGTTTTCATGTTCACTCAGCTACAGGAATGACTCCTTTCGAGTTTGTCAACGGCAAGCCCTACCAAGGCACAGTTGAGGAGTTTGGCGAGACACTACTTTGTCACGTGGTGCCCTCTGCAGGTGTTCATACCCGCAGGAAAGGTGATGCCCAGTGGTGCAAAGGAACTTTCCTCGGCAAGATGGAGAACAACCTGTTCTTGGTCTACACACAGTCAGGAATCCGAGCCTGTCGCAGCGCGAAAAGAATGGCAGGACACTTTGACAAGGACCTGATTGCCGGCATGACCATCAGCCCGTGGGATATCAAGCCCACGACTTTAGGAACAAGGGTTTTGCCAAAGAAGAGTCTACCTCAACCAGACGCTCGAGCACCACCGACTGTTTTGCCGATTCGCGGAGGCGGGGGTAATGCCATGACCCCTGCAATTACAGGAGGAATAGGAACACCAGCTTTGCCAGCTACACCTGTGCCACCTCAGCAGGAAGTGCAGCAAGAACCTCACCAACCTCAAGCACTACCACAGCAGGAAGAAGAGGAAGAAGCTGAAGACGAGGAAGTGGAAAGTCATTCCACTGACAACCCTTGCGCGTCAGATCCGAACACATCGGAACTGGCAATGGAGGAGAACAGCAGCAGCGCTCTAGGCATGGAGCAGGAAGAAGGTGAAATTCCTCTTGTGGGTGATGATACCCCACTTGAAGATCTGAGGATCCCCGTCAGAAGAGAAGGAAATCCTGAGTTTGAAGAACCAGGTTCGCCCTCGAAGTTTTTGCGAGCAGGAAGAGTCTTTGAGCACAACGACGAGGAAGCCTACGACGTTGAAGACGCGGAAGACTTCGAGGACCTCCAGTGGAAGGACGAAGACGAGTGGGAATTCGTCTACAGTGACGAAGATTCAGGTCCACCAGACCTACCTCCTGAAGAGCTGCAGGAACTTGACCGCGAAGCACTCCTTGTGGAGATGGAGCGCTTGGAAGGAATGCAAGCCATCAAAAGGACAAAGATCCGAGACATGGATGCAGAAGGAATTTCCAGCAGCATGAAGTGGTTGACAACCAAATTTGTTTTCGACTGGAGGTACAGAGAAGGAAGCTGGAAGCGCAGAGCGCGCTTAGTAGCCAGAGACTTCAAAACTGGCTCTTTCAGGACTGACGTGTTTAGTCCAGCGACCTCGTCGTCCATTATTCGCATCATCCCTCTTTTGGCAGTACAGGAAAAGATGCGATTGTGGGCAATCGATGTGAAAGATGCATTTTTACAGGTGCCGCAGAAGGTGCCTTGCGCCTGCAGAATGCCTCCTGAGTTTCAGGAACTTTTCCCATCTGGTGAAGATGATGAGGAAGCCATGATCCTGGAAAGAGTTCTTCCAGGACAACGTGATGCAGCACTCCTTTGGTCAGACTTTTTCTCAGACGATCTCAAAGACCAAGGAATGGAGAGATGCATTCCGTCTCCCACTTTGTTCAGAACAGACGCGGGAAGCATGATTGTTGTCCATGTTGATGACATCCAGGCAGGCGAGAAAGGAAGAGAACTCGAAGCAGTCATAGAAAAGCTAGAGAAGAAGTACACTCTTTCAGTCACAGGACCGTTTCTCACTGAAGAAGAATATGAACAAGGATTCTCTACGAGCACCATCCGTTTCTTGAAAAGGAAGTTTGTGTACGAGAACTACCTCTCGAAGATCTTGCCAGATCCCAAGTATGGCCAGAAGTTGGAAGAAGTACTACACCTTTCAGGAAAAGCTCCAAAGAACAGTCCGTGCAACGCAGCGTTTCAGGAAGAAGACAGAAGCAAGCCTTTGAGCGCAGACCGCGCAGCAAGGTACAGGAAGTGCGTAGGGATTCTTCTCTACATTGCACAGGACAGGCCAGATCTGCAATTTGCAGTTCAGAAGTTGGCCAGTGGGATGAGCAACCCCACTGAGAAGCAGGAAAAAACATCTCAAACATACAGCATCTTACTACAAGCGCACACAAGACTACTGTCTTGCGTACAGGAAGACCTTCCGTGGGTGCAGCAACCTACATGAGCAAGTACGCAAAGGAAGTTTCGACTTCCCACCAGAGCAGGAACAAGCTGAGCACAGCATCGAGATTTTCTCCGACTCAGACTGGGCTGGAGATCGCAGAACCAGGAAGAGCACCACAGCAGCCACCTACTTTCTCGATGGACAGCTCATTTTCAGCATGAGCCGTTGCCAGAAAACAATCAGCCTTTCTTCAGCCGAGGCTGAATACTATGCAGCCGCATCAGCAGTTTCAGAAGGCATTCACATCAAGGAAGTGATCACCTTCCTTACCCGCAGGAAAGCAACACTGACACTCCACATGGACAGCACAGCAGCACAAGGAATCATTTCAAGACAAGGCAAAGGACGAGTGAAGCATCTGCAGATACGAACACTATTTCTCCAAGATCTACACAAGACAGGGGAGATCGAAATCTCCAAAGTTGGCACAAAGGACAACACAGCAGACATAGGAACAAAGCCGCTTTCACAAGGAAGAGTCAACTTACTTTTGCACTGGCTAGGTTTCCAGTCTTTTTCGTCAGGACAAGCAGTCGGCAGGCAAGAGCTACAAGAGCGCAGACAGCAGACACAGCTCCAGCGCACAATCAGCAGAATCAAAGCAGTAGGAAAGTTTACACTAGCAGCTTTACTTTTGAGTGCAGACCCGTCTGAAGCAGCCCTCGTGCAGGCACCGCCAACAGCGAGCTTCGGACCGCACCTCCAGGAAGCATCCTGGAACGAGTTTTTGCAGTGGCAGGAAACAGTCTTGCCCAGCAGCGCGTGCAGTCAGTTTTGTGTCAGCGAGCAGTGCAGTTTCAGGAACGTTGAGTGTTTCGCAGTAGGAAGTGCAGTGTGTGAGCCAGCACAAAAGGAACACCCTTGCCGCAGCCGTGTGACCGAGCACAGAAAGGAAAAGAAGGTAGGAAAAGAAGAGATGAGCCAGCAGGAAATGTTGGAGACGCTGAACCACCTCCTGGACCGCGTGGAGAACCAGGCCTACAAGTTGTACGAGCTGGAAACCAGGGTTCAGTCTCTGGAGACCCAGCTAGGCAAAGGAAGAGCCACAGGACAGAAAGGAGAAAAGAAGAAGGGAAGCCAAGGAAAAGGAAAAGAAGGAGTACAAAGCGGAAGCAGCCAGCAGCCAAGCCCAGTGGAGCAGGAAGCTTTGAGCAAGCTTCTGGAGGAGAACAAAGCAGAGGAGAAGAGAAAGGAAGAAGAGTTGGAAGAGGAGAAAGAAAAGAAGAAGGCAGAGCTAAGGCACAGCTTCGAGGAGTACTTCGGCAACTACGAAGAAGAGGAGAAGTCAAAGGAAGAGAAGCAGAAGGAAAAGATGCAAGCGCTGCAGGCAGAGCTTGCAGAGATGGAGGCTACAGCAAAGTCAAGAAGGAAGAACCTCGTCGAGCAGTACTACACCCAGGAAAAGAACCTCGAGGAGTTCTACAAGAAGAAGGCAGGAAGCGCAGCAGGAAGTACCGCAGGAGACGACTACACCACGGAGGAGCACTACGCGGAGGACAAGGAAAGAAGGCGAAGTGAAGGAAGACGCCTTCACTCAGAGAAAGTTGAGGAACAACGCCAACGTGAAGAAAGCAACAGAAGCAAGGAAGCACAGTTCTCCTACCCCTTCGCGAGTGGTCCGGTGAAGGACTACGTGGAGAACGGCGAGATCTACCAGCACGACGTGAGTACAGGAACAAAAGAGTGGAAAGGTACAGACGTGGCTTACAAGCACCAGAAAGGAGACGCAGCAGCAGCAGCAGCAGCAGGCAAAGGAAAGGAAGTTCCAAAGCCACCGCAGCCATCGCAGGAAGAAGCCACAGAAGACAAAGGAAAAGGAAAAGAGGCAAGCCAGGAGAAAGGAGGAAAAGCAAAGGAAGGAAAAGCAGGAAAGAAAGGAAAGAGCGTCGGCACCTACGGTAAGCACACCTTCGACGGCGTGGAGTACGACACCTACACGTCACCAGAAGGAATCTTCTTCTGGTACGAAGCAGGACGCGATGTGTGGGTGACCCACACTCGCACGTGGATGTAACTGCACAGGAAGCAAGTGTGCAGGAAAAATGGAAAGATGGAAAGGGAAGGTTCTTGCAGCTACTTCGACGGCTACAGGAACGCCCTTGACGTGCACCGTGGCACGTTCACCTGGAACTACCAGGACTGAGGAAGTGAGTTTTTGTGTACAGGAACGTTTGCGTGTGTTGGACAGCTCAGAGGCGGCAGTACGCTGCCCGTAGCACAGGAACACAAGCCCTTTTGCTTCAACTAGGAAGCGTGTACTCTAGGAACAGCAGGAAGTGCAGAAACCTGCTACAGTGTTTCAGGAAACTCTTTCACAGCTTTCTGAGGCGGGGTGTTAAGCATTCTGACTCAGGTACAGCCCTGCCTTGACAACAGGTCATGATGCAGGAACACGGGCCGCGACACTAAGGCTCGAACACCCGGCGTCTACAAGGCCACGGGAAGGAAAAGTGTCCGAGTGTAGCCCATAGGCACAGTCCCAGGAAAGCTCCGTTTTCTAACAGTTTTGGATGTCGGGGTTTAGGGTTTAGGGTCACGCGATTCAAGCGAGGTAGTGTCAATTTGAAGCCATTCCTGGGATAAGTGTCAGGCGGTGCTGCGGGTGTTGATAATACAAACCCAATGTCACATCCAAAACCTCAAGCCATCGTGAAACTGTGGGAAAGCATTGCGAAACTTATGGTCTGTGTCTTAAACCCTAAACTGTAGACCTTCCCAAACACTTATAGAGCATTGCCGAAGCGAAACCCTAAGCTAGACTTCCCAGGAGTTCTGGGATGTCTTCAGCCCGCGGATGCTGGAGACTACGCAGTCTGAACTTTTCGATCCTTGGACGTGCTGACCGACACGACTGCCAGTACTACTACTACTACTACGACGACGACGACTACGACTACGACTACGACTACGACTACGACTACAACTACGACTACGACTACGACTACTACTACTACGATTACTACTACTACGACTACCACTACTACTACTACTACTACTACTACTACTACTGCCACTACTACTACTACTACAACTACGACTACTACAACTACTACAACTACTACTACTACTACTATTACTACTACTACTACTACTACTAACTACTACTACTACTACTACTACTACTAACTACTACTACTACTACTACTACTACTACTACTACTACTACTACTACTACTACTACTACTACTACTACTAACTACTACTACTACTACTACTACTACTACTACTACTACTACTACTACTACTACTACTACTTCCAACGACTACGCCTACGGCTGTGAGTACGATTTCGCCCACGACTGCGACTGTGATGACAGCGACGACGACCACTACGACTACGAAGAAGACGACGAGACGACTACCACTATTCTCATTTTTCTGGCTTGTGCAGTTAAAGGCTATTGTTGGCATGTTCTATGCCAAGACTGGTAATTTTATCATGACTGCTTTCATGGGTTGCAGCCTTGCTCCAATGCCGCCTATGGTGCCGCCTTCCGAAGGTTCACCGGCGCGGATGAGAACCGTGTGCTCAGTTTCCGGGTGGATTGGGAGGACGAGATAGAAGACTCTGATGGCGATGAGATGGTTCTCTTGTTGATGTTGTTGTTGATGATGAATTGGGTACGGCCCCCACTCAGTAACAGTTGGATAAGAATCATAATGTAGATATATGAGGCCCTTAATAGTAGCCCGATTATAGACTGTTACTGTATGGGGGCCGTACCCAAATGATGAATATGCTTCTGGCTTGAAAGTCCTTGATGTACTATTGGAAACTTGTCTTGATGGTAGTGCCAGTGTTGTTGCTGTTACCACTGACTCCGAAGACCTGACCTCTTCCCCGAGGAGTGGTACAAAGCCAACTATCGGGAGTGTGTGGAGGGATTCCTCTCCATGATACTCTATTTATCCCTGGTCATGGAGGAGCGGCGTGTGCCTCGCCCGAGCTTGAACTTAGGATCCAGAAGCCTTTTTATTGGGCATGCGGCAGGTTTTATGACAGGGGTTCGGTGAGTGTACACAGGGCTCATGACAAATGTTGGTGAGTGTGTGTTTGGTGTCTGGCCGCAGAAGGGGATGCTCGTAACTTCATATTGCACGCCGCTTTACTTACCTGCAACTACGATTGGATCGATGGACAGACCTGTCAGCTAACTTTCTAGCTTGTGAGTGAGTGAAGCTATTCGAAGTCGATCTCCCTGCGTATAACACCCGTACAGAGGCCTTGAGGAACCCGTCATGAAGCCAAAGACCTTTCAAAATCCTGACAGAACCTGTATGGGCCCTTACAGAGCCAGAACCCGCGAACCCACAAAGAAGCCCTCATGGAATCAGTACCGAAATCCTTGGGCAATTTTTGAAGACTTCTTTCTTAAATGAGAGCACCCTTTCAAGATCCCCTTTCAAGAACCCCTTTAAGAACCCGTAAACATCCCTTAACGAGATTTGAGGAGCCCCTGTAGAATCCTGAACGAATCCCTATGAAACCTCAGTGAAGACCATGTAGAACCTGTAAAGAAACCTAAACCCCGAAACCCTACACCCACGACACCCCAAACTGTACACCCAAAATCCCAGACCTCAAACCCTGAACCGTGTAAAACCCAAGCCCATCGAAGCTCCCTCAGAGATCGTTGAACCACCATGGAAGGTCCTTTAAAGCGGACCCTATTGTAGAACCCTCTAGTATCCTTTTAAAGAGAACTTTTTTGCATCCTCAGTGCCCTTCAAAGGAGTCCTTAGAGCACCCCTTAAAAGCTCCCCTAGAGATCCCTTGAAGAAGCCTCAGAGAACCCTGTAAGATCCCCTAAGAGCGGCCTAAGCGATCCCCTAAAAGAACCCTAAGAGGTCACTTAAAAGATGCCTGAGAGACCCTTCCAAATGGGAGTTTTCGAAAATTGGGGGTACCAAATAATTTGAAAAGATCCTTCAACAGAACCCTCAACATGAACCCTCGAAAGATCCTTTTAGAACCCTTAAACATCCCTTATGGAACACTAGAAGGATCCCTTAGTCCCTTAGAGGAATCCCTTAACCCTGCAAAAGAATCCTCAACGGTCCCTTAAAGGAACAGCGAGAGGGTTTAGGGTTTAGGGTTTAGATCCCTTAAGATAACCCATAAAACGATCCAAAAGATGAACCGCGAGAGGGGATCCCTGAGAAGAACCCCTACCCTAAACCCGAAACCCCAAATCCTAAACTCGAAACCCTACATCCCAAACCCTAAATCCTAAAACATTTAAAACCCTACATCCTTAACCTAAATCCTCCTAAACCCTAAATCCTAAACCAGCCCTAAACCCTAAACAATCCTAAACCCTAAATCCTAAACCAGCCCTCAACCCTAAACCCTAAACCTTAAACAACCCTAAACCCTAAGTCCCTAAACCCTAAATCCCCAAACCCCTAAAACCCTAAGTCCCTAAACCCTACACCCTCTTTTGTCGCTCCCGAGGCTTCCCTCCTGGACCTGGCGAGCCGCGCGGCTCGCGAGCTGAACCCGCTGGCGCTCCGCGCGGGCGCCTTTATGGTTAAGGGGTTTAGCGACTTGGGGTTTTAGGGACTTGGGGGTTTAGGGTTTTAGGGACTTGGGGTTTTAGGGACTTGGGGGTTTAGGGTTTTGGGGACTTAGGGTTTTAGGGACTTAGGGGTTTAGGGTTTAGGGACTTAGGGTTTCAGGGTTTCAGGGGTTTAGGGTTTAGGGGTTTAGGGTTTTGGGGACTTAGGGTTCTAGGGACTTAGGGGTTTAGGGTTTAGGGACTTAGGGTTTTAGGGGTGTAGGGGTTTAGAGTTTAGGGACTTAGGGTTTTAGGGGTGTAGGGGTTCGGGTTTAGGGACTTAGGGTTTTAGGGTTTCAGGGGTTTAGGGTTTAGGGGTTTAGGGTTTGGGGTTTAGGGACTTAGGGTTTAGGGTTTAGGGTGCCGAAGCGACGATCTGATGGGTTTGGGGGTTTTCGGGATCTGTTTGGGTTTTAGGTTTGGGGGTTTGAGGTTTAGGGGTTAAGGGTGGGTTTAGGGTTTTGGGGTTCCAGGCTTTGGGGGGTTTTAGGGGTTAGGGTTTGGGGTTCGCAGCAAGGAATCTGTTTGAGGGTGTTACATTCCTTTCAGGGTTGCTGTCACGGTTTGTTTAAGGGTTCCGTTTAAGGTTCCGTTAAGGGTTCCTGCAAAAGGTTCCACAAGTGTAGGCAGCATGAGCAGGATTGCCGCAAAAGTTAAAGGCTTGTTGCTTAGGGTTCCGGGTTCAGGGTCAGTCTTCCATCTGCTATGCGGAGGTTTACAGCTGTTTCGATGGCTTCCGTGCGATTCCACGAAGTGAAAGGTTTCAACGAGTCGCAGCCAGGTTGTTTAGGGCTATAACAAGGTCATATAGGTTTTTTGTAGCATTTTAAACTTGTGCCAGGATGTTTATGGTGGTTCTACTGGGGAGTTCTGGGCGGAGCGGTTTCCGATGGTTTCAGCTTGGGCAGCTTGTTAGTTGTGCTTCTATTCATTTCTGTATTTTTTTAAACATGTCCCTATCTCCGTTTCTATCCGTCTATCGCAAACTCTAGTTCTCTCTTGCTGCAGCTGTCGCTGAGTGAGGCATGTTCACACTGGTGCCGCTATACCTACATACGGACCAAGTAAGTGTGTATCATCCTCGTCGTCCACGGTTGTGGCCAGAGAGTGGCAATTCAAACCACAACCCGAAGAATGAGACACAAGAAGGCGCAGCAGCAGCAGCAGCAGCAGCAGCAGCAGAAGCAGCAGCAGCAGCAGCAGCAGCAGCAGCAGCAGCAGCAGCAGCAGCACCACATTCTGCTTCACCGCCGTCTCCATGTCTAATCCATCATCCCCCGTGATTGTGACGGTTGCAGCAGTGCAACATTCAGCTTTTCCATGAAAGCCTTAGGGCATCTACAGGCTGGTGCATGCAGACACACGTGCATCTTCAAATCCGTGTGTTCGTATTCATGTCCAAACAAGGACGTTTGTAACGTAATGACTGTGGGAAAAGACCATTACTTGATAAGATGAAGATTGAATGCACAGAGCCCAGACGGAACCCGTCCTACTCGAGCTATTCTTTCCGCCCTGTGCTAACTCCGCAGGACACTCACCTTGGCCATTTTTTGGGCTGATGGACCGGTTGCAGCTCCATTCCCGCAAGTGGGGTTGGGGCATTCGTATCGTTTCTGCAGTGCTCCACCGATTTCGGCAGGCTGTTTGAAGATGATGACGGCAAGTTTAGTCCGTGGCTTTCCTGTTGCAAGACAAGAGACTAAAGTCTGTTGCCCTTGTGTTTCAACACCTTGCCACTCGTGCCGGCCTTTACTCCTCAGAATGTCGTCGCGTTGGAGTTGTGATTTGAGTGGTTGTCAAAATTTTGGGTACCCTAAATAATAGGTGCCGTATTATAGTAGGGACCAAAAAGGGACCTTAATTTTGACAAGCACCCATTTGTATTTTATCTGGGGCCTACGAGGGTGCAGATGTTCGTGCTCGTTTGTTGTACCTAGCTTCCTACACTGGACGATGGTCTGCAAACCGTCCTCACGCCGGTCTCCAGACACCAATCGCATGAGCTGAAGTTGGCATGATGCTGATCGAGACAGACAACGCCATGACCTCGTCTCCCTCTGGTGTTAGAGAGGGGATTGCAAGCTGCTTTTCTTGTGGACTCTAGGCAGTAGGGTGCAAAACAAGAACTGCCAAGGATATGCCCTTAATATAGCTATTATATACCCATTATATAGCCCATTATCAGGTAGGGGTCCCGACTAAGGGTCCCTCCTTTTCCCCTTTGAGTTTACCCCAAGCCGTAAACCCCAGCATGGTTTCGCTGCAAGAATTTCGCCAGGCTGATTTGGCAAGCCGGTCAGCATGCTGCGCCGTTGCTGACGGATCCCTGGCGCCTCCCTCCCCGCTGCCCTGCCTTGCCGTCGATTCTGCGTCCTGGCGACACGAAACCCTAAATCCCCTAAACCCTAAAACCCCTAAACCCTAAAACCCCTAAAACCCCTAAACCCTAAAACCCCTAAACCCTAAACCCTAAAACCCCTAAACCCTAAAACCCCTAAACCGAAGACCGGAACCCCAATGTTTTAAATACGGAGCCCCCTAAACCTCGAAGCGCTGTGGCCGGACAGGGTGCAGGGTGACCTGGAACTGGTTTAGGGTTTAGGGTTTAGGGGTTTTAGGAACTTAGGGTTTAGGGTTTAGGGTTTAGGGGTTTAGGGGTTTTAGGGTTTAGGGTTTAGGGGTTTTAGGTTTTAGGGTTTAGGGTTTAGGACTTGAAGTTGAAGGGCCTGGCATTGCGCGGTTTGCGTTCGAGTGGTGCGTGAGCCTCAAGAAGGACAATCTCCGCCTGCCCACGATCTCCAGACTGCGCCAAACCCAACAAGGGGGAGGTTTAAATTCAATCAGGCCTCCTCCCTAAACCCTAAACCCTAAACCCTAAACCCTAAACCCTAAACCCTAAACCCTAAACTCAACTCCTACACGTAACGGAGCCTTTGAGCCTGGAACCTCAAACCACCCCGGACCTTAGACTCGCAAAGGCTAACCCAATACCCCTTAATTAGGGAACTTCAGCTTAAATCATAACATGAATCCCCCTATAATTTAAGGTATATTCCTTGTTTAAGGGGTATAGGGCTCTCTGGGAAGCCTTCTAGCAAAGCTTTGAGCAGCAGATCTCGTGCACTTGGACGAACCCTCAACAAGAACACCGGGGCCCCTAAGCACCTAAATCCCACACCTTAAACCCTTTAAACACCAAACCTCAACTTCCCAAAAAGCCTTCACCTAAGCTGGAGGCAGCCTTTTCAACAAGGCCCAGATGGCTCTGTCGAGCACCTCGGGGACTTAGCCGCCGCCTGGGGATGGCGAGGTGGGAGCTCCGAGACCTTGGATTTAGGGACCCGAAAAGCACATAAGCACAAGCATGTTATGGGGATATCCCTACCTTATTGGGCTTCATTATAAGGGGATTTATATGGGATATCCCTATCCTAATTTTTGCTTATGTGCTTTTTTGGGACGTAGCTTTTATACAGCTAAGGTCATTGCGCCGACGCCCTGCCCTAAGCATTCAGGTTTCTATGTGGGAGTCTCCGAGAATAGGGGACCCTAATATAGTACCCTAAATAGTAGGATCCTTATTATAAGGACCCCAAAATCAGGTACCCCTAATTTTCGGAAACTCCCATATTGGGGTGCACGGTTCGAACATGCCTTAGTCTGCTGCATGATTGAGGCTTCTGTAGCCCCGTACCCCCGGCTCAAGTTATTTGGGTAGTTGTCAAAATTCGGGTCCCTTTTTGGGTACCCTAAATAATAGGTGCCGCATTATAATAGGGACCCAAAAAGGGACCTTAGTTTTGACAACCACCCATGTATCTACTGAGAGACGGTTCTCTCTAAGGTGGGGTCTCTCGAAGGAATCTCCAAGCCTGCGCCCCGAACCCTACAGAACGTGTCAGTCTAATAAATCTGTTTGAAAGCTTGAGAAGCCCACACCCTCAATCCTTCACCCAAAGCCCTAAGTCGGAAACCTTTGAATGGCAAGCTGCTTCCTTGGAATGGAACTTAGTTCAAGTTGCCGCAAGTAGGGGTACATGATGCGTGATATGCTGTCCGTATACAGTAGAAGCCCCAAAGCTGGAAACCCAATAGCCTCAATCCTGAAGAGCAATGTAGAGGGAATCCCAGCACTATTTGGCCTTCATCCGGTTTCCAACTTTATGGGGTTTACTGTCAACTGAGATGAACTTCCGGAACACGATTCCGAACAGGTCCATCTCCTGCGCAAGATTTCTCCAGTAACTCTGCCCTGACCTCGGCATGTTGAAGGGCAATGTGGAAGGAGGCGTTTGGGTTCAGGGCTTTGGGGTATGTTATACTTCAGCTACGTAGGGAATTCTGGAAAGTTTTATTATTGCACTTAGTATTCAAGCTTCTACATGAGGGCTTTTAGGGCGTTGTGATGTACAGTAGCGGTTTTGCAATTCCTCCGGAGTTTTTGGTATAGCCTCAATTCCTAAACCCTAAACCCTAAGCCCTAAACCCGAAACCCTCAACCCCAAACCCTGAACCCTAAACCCGAAACCCTCAACCCCAAACCCTGAACCCTAAGCCCTAAACCCTAAACGCCAAACCCAAAATCGGCCCCAAGCCTCAAGGTCCTGCGCTTGGCGCGGAACCTGCCTCCCGGCGCCATCATGGTGGATGCCGGGGTCTTCGATGGCACAGACTGGTCCTTGATGGGCATCCTCGCCGGGGCCACGGTGATCGGCATCTCGCCGCGGAAGTCCGAGGTTTCCAGGGTTCCCGGGTTGGGGTTAAGGGTTTAGGGTTTAGGGTTCGGGGTTTGGGGTTTAGAGTTTCGAGTTACGTTTCGGTTTCTAATTGGGTTACTGCAAGGTTTGCCCTGCGTAAGACTTTAAGGCTCTTGCAGAGCTTGAAGCAGCACGGAAGAGAGAGCCCTCTGCAATGTCAGCCTTCCCCCTAACCCTTGAACTTCCAAAGCTCCAAACTACAAACACACTTGTAAGCAAAGCTTTACGATCCCTACAAATTCAGCGAGAGCCCGTGCAAGACCCTTATGAAACCACTCTCGAGACCCTGATGGAGCCCTTATAGTCTTGTAGAGCCTCCATAGAACCTCTCCAGGCGACCATTTCTTGAAGGCTCTGTACCTGTAGCCTGTAGCCGAAAAGACCTATCTGTTTAAGTTGCTATAGAAAGAAACCATAATAAGGAGCCCTAAGAGGGCAGGTCTTTTCGCTACAGGTAGGACAAGTGCCCCTTGACCCTAAAGCCTAAACCCTGAACCTTCAAACCTCAAACCTCAAACCTAAACCCCAACGCAAAACCCAAAACCCTAAACCCTAAAACCTAAACCCTAAACCCTAAAAGCCTAAACCCTCAACCCTAAACCTTCCTTGGTATTGCGGCTAAGGCTTCGAGCCTCTGCGGGAGAACCGGAAGTTGGTCGAGGAGCGGCTTCCGGCCGCCCTGCAACAGGAGGGCTACGAGAAGCTCGGTGCTAGAAGGTTTAGGGTTTAGGGTTTAGGGTTTAGGGGGTGCTGTCAGGTTTTGGCTCCGAGGGTTTTTATAGAGGGTTGAGGGTTTAGGGTTAAGGGTGCTATGAAAGCTCTCTAGGCTACGGGAAGCCCGGTGATTTTCAGTTTTTTGCTCCGAGGGTTTTGGGTGGTCTTCCCTACCGGACCAATCCGCATGACCGGTTGCATATGCCCCAAACCCTTAAACCCTTAAGCCCCTGAGCCCTAAACCCTAGGGGCCTTCAAGCGGTCTAGCATCGGGGTTGTGGCGGCTTGGGTTTAGCGTTTGGGATGTGCTTCGGAGCTTCGGGTCAGCAGGGAGTTCCTTGCGTCGTCCGTCGTGGTGTTGTAGCCTTTCTTGCATTCTTCGGGGCATGTATTGTATCTCATCATGTAAGCCATGAATCCTGAATCTGAAACCCTAAACCCCCGACCCACCCCTGGCCCTAAACCCTTAATTAGACCCTAAAGCCCTCAAGGCCCTAAACCCTAGAAGCCGCAAACCACAAACCGCAAACAGAGGAAGGGCCTCCACACTGCCTTCAGCTTCCTGACCGTGGCGCCGGGAGAAGCGGTCCCCGGCTCAGTTGACGATGCCTGGACCCTCGTAACCCTGAGCTGTATAGGTTCAAGGGTTTGGGTGGAGGGTTTAGGGTTGAAGCCACCCCAAGACCCCAAACCTGTAGCTCTGAACCCCATAAGCATATACCCCGAACACCCCCGAATCCTAAACCAGCTAAGAATCGCTCGATGTTGTGCGGCAGAATGAGGTGCCGCGGACGCCCTGGTTGCAGATCGCTCCAGTCGGTAGCCGACAAAGGCCGTGCGCATTTACAATAAGTAGCAGTGGCCTTAGCAGTAGCAGTAGTAGTAGTAGTAGCAGCAGCAGTAGTAGTAGCAGTAGTAGTAGTAGCAGTGGGGGTAGTGGAAGTAATAATGGTAGTCATGGTAGTACTGCTAGCAGTGGTAGTTGTGGTAGTAGGGGTGGCAGTGGAGTGGTAGTACTGGTAGCAGGGGTGTGGCAGTAGTAGTAGTAGTAGTAATAATAATAATAATAATAGTAGTAGTAGTAGTAGTGGTAGTGGTTGTGGCAGTGGTGGTTGTTCACTCGTACTGCACCCTGCTCCGACTGCTCCTCCTGGTCGAAATGTTCTTTCTGCTGTTACATAAAACGTAGCGATGTAGCTCGTTTTGTGGGCACAGGCCTTCAAGGACATTGGTCTTCCGGGTTGTTTGTACAACAAGCGGGTAGTTGTCAAAATTAGGTCCCTTTTTTGGGCCCTATTATAATACGGCACCTATTATTTAGGGTACCCAAAAAGGGACCCTAATTTTGACAACCACCCAAGTAGTAGCCTATCAGCTTCATTTTGCTGTTTTTCAGTTGGTTACAGGCTCGGCCACAGCTACATCTTCACGGCTGGCTTGGGTGAGCGTGTGGCTTGTCATGCAAGTCATCTGCGCGATTCAATATCCCGGTAAAGCTGAAGTTCCTGAGAGGTTCGCTGAACATGACGGCCCTAAACCCCCCCTAAAGTTCGTAACCCCTAAGCCCTTGAGAGGTTCGCTCCCTGAACATGACGGTCCGGTACGACTACAGCAGCATAGCGGACCAGGGCTACCTGAAGGGCCCGCCAAACATGGAGGATGAGACTCGGCGGATGTACGAAAAGGGGTTTAGGGCCTTTAGGGGTTTGGGGGTTTAGGGCTTTGGGGTTTAGGGTTTGGGGTTTCGTTTTTAGGGGGTCTAGGGTTTGGTGTTCAGGGTTTTGGGGTTGGGGTTTAGGGTTTAGGGTTTAGGTAATCATTCATATCAGTTCCCATGGATTCCGGCTTATGAATGTATGGTACCATATATCCCGAAACGCGGTTCGTATTGTCAAGGCATGTCAAGGCCCCCTAACGAATCAAGGAGTTCTGAATACTTAGTCAAACTGCTTCCTTGAAGCACCTGTGCAAAGACATTGTTAATATACTGCCAAACCCTCGTCTCATCATTGAGACAGTGGCAACATAACCCCATCGACGCAATTCTCGTCTGGGCCTGAAGTTTAGGGTTTAGGGTTTAGGGCGGCCTGAGTCCCCAACCTTAGCAGTTGACCGCCCTAACCAATTTCCTGTATACTCTGCCGTCCTACTAAGGAGGAGGTAGGTTTGACGACCTTGGATGACATCATCGACTCTTACCTCAGCGACGTCCACACAGTGGAGCTGCTGAAACTGGACGTTGAAGGCCCAGCTATAGGGAGTCCGGTCAGCACTTCCACCCCAAACAGTTTTCTTCTAGTACTGAATCTTGTTACAATCATTCCTAAACCCTAAACCATTGGCCTAATATCGTCAACCCAGCATTGAAAAGGAAATAAGCTCCGTGAAAGTCCGGTAGCTAGTTCTATAATGTTGGATGCAACTCCGAAGATCCGCAAAGCCGCAATCCTAGACTACGGATCCTTGGTCTTACATGGTTTCAGTAGGGTTCCGAAAGGGTTGCCGTAATTTTTCTTTATGCGTTGGGTACGGCTTGAAACCGCGGCCTTATGCGGTTATTGTACGGCTTCATGCAGGGGGCCTTCTTGCTTAGACTAGCTAACCATTGGTATCGGAGGAGCTAAGGAGCCAGGGATGATGATAATCCGTATTAAATAAGGAGCTAACGAGCCAAGGGAACCCCAAAACCACTGCTTAGCTAGGGTGTTAAAGCTTCGAGCGCCGAGCTAAGCCACGGGAGGCTACGAGATGGGTGCTCTGCGTGGAGCGGAGTGGTTACTGTCCGAAGGCGCCGGGATGTCGGGCAAAAGTTTTAAGAGCCTAAGCTTTGAGTGTGTGGGCGTAAGATTGGAAGGTTTAGGCTGCAGGTTGTGGATTCTTTGATGCCCAAGAGCCTCCCCCGAACCCCCTCTCAACCCCGAACCCCCAATATCCAGCAATCTCGAAAGCCACGCATTCTTAAAATCCAGCGGATGAGCCCAGCGACGGTGAAGCCATGGTTCTCAAACCGCACCCCAAATCCCAAACCATACACGCTGAACCTGAACCCGAAGCCCCAAAGCCTCGATCCCACACCCCAAGGCCCAGACCCTGTGCCCAAAGCCCTAAGCCCTAAACCCCTAAACCCTATACTCGAGCCGTACATCGTACTTCCTATGAGCCTGAGATCCTTCTCAAGCTCTATCTTCTTGAGACCTGACCCCGAAATCGCAAGCCCTAGACCGTAGATCCTGCTTGGAGGGGGGGACTTAGTAAGTAGGTAGTAAGTAGACTTATAAGTACCCTAACAAGGACCCTAATTGGGGTTATGGTACTTATAAATCCCTAAAATAACCAGTTACTAAGTCCCCCGACCCTCCAAGTAGATCCTGGAGGCCCTAACATTCAAGTCCTAACTCCGATGCCTCCATCCGCCAGGGCGGGTGCACTTCCTGGTCATGGAGTTTCATCCAGGACACAGTGACCCCAATACCCCTTAATTCAGGAATATACCTTAAATTATAGTAGGATCCTTATTATGATTTAAGGTATATTCCTTAATTAAGGGACATTGGAGTCTCTGAGGCTTTTTGGGCTTCAGCTTCGAAGTGTGGCGATTTGTGGATTGTTCTCCGAGGGTTCTTGGTTCCGGGGTGTCCAGAGACTCCAATATCCCTAAATTAAGGAGTATACCGTAAATCATATTAAGGATCCTGCTATAATTTAAGGTATACCTAAATTAAGGTATATACCTTAAATCATATTAAGGGTCCTACTACTATAATTTAAGGTATATTCCTTAATTAAGGGATATTGGAGTCTCTGGGTGGTTTAGGTCAGAGGATCTCTCCATACCATGGTGGCGGGTGGTGCGGACGATTCTGATGATGTTGAGGCCATGCATGAAGGTCACTTTGCTTATGGTCTGCTTTTGCCACATTATCTCCATGATGTCCACCATCATTGTGAGTGCTCGATACTATTGCAGATACTACGATCATGAGGAGCATAAGAGTTTTTGAGCCATGATTGACAGCCATCACCGTCCGCCAACGTCATCACCACCGCTGCCACCCAGAACCCCCATCATCCTGCCTGCGCCGCTGCTGCGTGCCCCTTCCATTACTTAGAATAGAAATTTTGTTCGTGTTCAAAACAGCGGCTCCATCACTATCACCATCATCACTGCCGCCATCACCATCACCATCGTCATCATAGTCATCACAGTCATCATAGTCATTGCAGTCATCACACACATACAGTCATCACAGTCATCAGAGTCATCATAGTCATTACAGTCATCACACTCATCGCAGTTTTCATCCTCGTCATCATCATCATCATCATCCTCACCTTCCAACTCGGTGACCAGCGCCTGTCTTAGGATGGCGACCCGATTTTGTAGTCATATGTGTATTCACACTACATTGGACGACTCTACACAGTCTTATTGATTGTTTGACCTCTCATGCTTCTGATGGCGGTTGTCTTCATATCCAATTGTGTTCTTGTAGTTGGATACTGCTTTTGTACGTAGTTACTGGAACTATTTGCCAGGGGTCGGGCTGGAGAGTAGGGTTCTATGCGGGTTGCTGCAAGGGCTGCGATAAAGAATCTTATCAGCGATGTGATATGGGTTGCTCTACGACTTTTTTTTGCTCTATATGCTCGGTAAAACCCTAATATAAACCCTGAACCCCAAACTTATATACCCAATAGGCCCTAAACGCTAAACCTTAAACCGTAAACCCCTAAACCCTCAACCCCAAAACAGAAAAAGGTGCTTAAAAGCAACCCTGCACCCTGGACCCTAAACCGTACTAGTGACAAGCTTCACAAGGCACAAGGGTGACGTCTGAGGTTGCCGAGGATAGTTGCCTGCTCCATTGGAGCTCTCCAACTGTACTGCAGCTGGAAAAGGTCCTCACAAAAAAACCGTGCTTGGTGCTTTTCGTGTCTTTTTTTGGGGGTCCGCCAGGAATGCTCGGCAGCAGCGGAACTGACCCAGAAGGCCGCCTGAGAGTCTACTTTAAAGGGCTTAGGTGCTTAGGGGTACAAGGGTTTAGAGTCTAGGGGTTTAGAGTTTCGGGGCTTGGGGTTGAGGGTTTACCTGTTTCTATTAGGGTTTGGGCTGTTTCTGTGGATAACAAACCCACCGAGGTAGGCAAACCCGAGCCGTAGAGCCCACGCCTCGTCCATCAGCCTTGAATGCTACAAACCCGTAGACCCAGAACTCGAAACGACCCGGCTGCAGGCGACTTTTGAGGGTTTCGTGAGTTGAGGGACTTAACCGCTTTTAAGTTTAGGGTCTTGGGTTTAGGATTTAGGGTTTAGGGTCTAGGGTCGAGGGTTTAGGGCTTATTGTGGGTGTTTCAGTTTACGGTTGAGGGTTCTGCGTTGGTTGAAAAGGTTTGTCCAGCAGAGGTCATATAGTAGGTGCCCGAACAAATTTGCAATGCCATTTTTGTTTCGGGTTGCCGGCTTCACCATTTCAGATCAGGAAAAGGATTGGGGATGTAGGGGAATTCCTAGACCCGGCTCTCATGTCCTTTTCGGGATGTAACACCGCAGTTTCTGTGGGTCACAACGCGTCTGGGTATGTCATGAACATCCAAAAACGGACCGTTTTCTATCGTTCCGCTAACAGCAGCCTATGATCCTGAGCCCAATGCATCGTCATCCCTGAAATCTGATCTAACCCCGGTAGAAGATTCCACCAGTAGCAGGAACCCCTGGTGAAACCATTAGACTTTGCAAAGTCATTTTAACGCTGGAACCAGTAGGAAACCATCTCACATGTTTCTAGCCGTTTCACATCCCAAACCCTAAACCCGCAGCTAATCTGGACCAACACTGGACAGCCTGAAAAGCATCCACTGCACACAACTCTCCATAAACCCCTAAACCCTAAACCCTTAACCCTAACCCCTAACCCTTAACCCTAAACCCTAAACCGTAAACCCTTAAAGTCCACTCTTCTGTTGATCCGCGACCTTCCGATCAGGGCTTCTGGAGTTTCTCCGCCACTACTGCTTCCGTCCCCTCGGCCTCCCTTAAATCGGTCGATATCCGCGGGCGTTTTGAAATTGTAAGAATGGTAATGATGGTACTGAAAGAACAACAAGAATAAGGACTATTACCAAGAACAACAATAACAACGATAATGACAACAGCAACAACGACAATGATAACATCACTAGAATATTCCGATGTCTGTTCCACGGGGTTGTTTTCCTAAAGGATGGGGGTTTCCGAAGCTATCTGGGGCTCTAGTAGTAGTAGTCGTGATGTTTTGTCAGGGTTTTTGGTTTTAGGGTTCTTAGGCTTCAGTTTCACGGTTTTATGTTAGAAGGGGCCACCACCACGTAATAGTGGTATAATAGGAACATAATAGGGCCCTAATATGATCCTTGTAGTCACTATTACAGGGTGGGGGCAGCTTGAAGGTTACAGCCAGGGTTGGGGCTGAACCAGGATTGGGGCTGAAGTTTCGAATTTAATTCGGGGTTCAGGTTCTGGGCTCTCAGCGGTATCCTGTACTACAAGGGCCTAAATTACAAATACTACTTTGGGGTTCCTTCTTATAAATTTAGTATAATGGGCCCCAACATCCTGTTCTGATTATTAAGGCCTCTTTATTGAGCCTCTTCGCACTCGGGAGCGTGTTTCGTTGCAGGTTTCGCTTGGTGCAAACTCATCAAGCTTGGCTGTCTCGTTTTGGGCAAGAGGAACAGATGCATTGCTTGCTAGTTCCAGGAGGTGGATATTGTGTTTAGTACTTTTCCTCATGCTTGTTACAGTTGGAATAAACGCTCGAAAGTTGGGGGTCACAGGTATGTGCTTGTGTTGGAGTGCTTTCATGTTCTAGCAGGCCAAGTGTTTTGTCAATTCTGTTGCAGTTGCCGATGTTTTCCGGCCCGTTGTTGTTGCAAGGGCTTTAGCAGATTTGCTGCCTCAATCCCAACTTGAGCCCTATACTGTAAAGGCTAGAGACGCGAAATCTCAAGCCTCGGGCCTGTTTGTATACGCAAACCCACGAAAAGACACACCTGTCACGAAACCGTCTACAGCTGTCACGGAGATCTTTAATTAAACATACACTCTTTCCAAACCCAAACACTGTAGAACAGAATCTTTAAGCCAGCCATCTTAAACCCTAAGCCTAAGCCCAAACCCTAACCCATAAGCCTGAAGCCCAAAGTTCTCCAACCCTCGACCGAGGCTGCTTTTCTCTGAAGATCCGGGAGACGCAAAGCTTCGAGGCCTTTGTGGCTCGCTACGTGACGCCGCAAGCGACGCCTCTACAGGGTCTTGGTGAGTTGGAGGACTTGGTGTGTGAGAACACGGCGTGGCAAGGCAGGTGATGGAAGCTTCGGGTCACATTCGAAGTCCTATAGCCCTATAGCCTATAGCCCCAACCCCTTTGCATTCGATAGTGCAACGCTTCGGTGACCTGACCAGCTCCCTCCACATGTTAATGTAACCGGCAGCAGCTGGCACCTGCGGGAAAAGGGCCGCAAATCGACATCTGCCTGCTCATTGTTCTAATACGGCTGTTTGAGTAGTTAGTCAATCAGTAGAATATTCCCCTGTCGTCACCATCAGTCTGACCACAACATGTCCGACGGAACCCTAAGCATTGCGTACCCTAAACCCCAAACCCTAGTCATTGCTTTCCCAGCCCCAGCTAACAAAAACGCTTTGAGGAGTGGCAAGCAAAGCCGGAGCGCCTCTATTAGTCTCTTCTTCCGCAGTCGTTCTACTACATGGGTGGTTGTCAAAATTATGGCCCCTTTTTGGGTCCCTAATATAGTACGGCACCTGTTATTTAGGGTACCCTAACAGGGACCATAATTTTGACAACTACCCACATGGTAGCAGGATCTAACCATCATGATGTCTGGTTCTTGGATGTTCTTGTATTGGGAATTGAACCGCTCACAAGTGTTTCATCCTCCGCTGAAAAGAGCTGGCAATAGACCTCACACCTCCAACCCTAAGCCCTAAGCCACAAACCCTAGACCCGAAACCTTCAGCCTTGGCTGTAGGGCTCCACGTGCTGCGCCAGTGTGGTAGCTTTGAGCTTTGATGTTTTGTTCATGGCCCCTTCGTTGACCGGTCTTGAGTGTCTCCAATCCCTAGCAGACCCTCAGTGTGCTTCCGGGTTTGGGGTTTAGGTTAGAAGGGGCCGCCTTATAGTCACTATTACAGGGTGGGGGCAGCTTCTAAGGTTTAGGGTTTAGGGTTCAGGGGCCTGTAACTTGTAGCATTTCGGGCGACTCCGGCGGCCAGCGGCTTGCATTACCTGCCCTAACCCTGAATCCTCAACACCAAAAGCCTCATAAGCCCCAAACCCTGCAAACCCTCTTACCTGTGCCATAGTTGGATAAACTTTTACATTTTTTTGAGGGTACTTCAACCCAATAAGGAACAAATATTAAGATTTTTAATCCTATCCCAACCATGAACCTGGAAACTGCAGGTTCGATTCTGTCTTGCTGAACATGAGGGCCAGACATGGAGATGCCTTCCGCATCTACGTGCGCCTCGGGCTGCAAGGCAGTTTCAGGTTTTGTTGGGTTCTGAATAGGGTTCTTTTCGGGTTTTTGTAAGGGTTCTTTACGGCTTCGTTGGCGTTTCGTAAGGGTTCTCTGAACCTCTGAACCCTGCAGCCCTAAACCGTTGGATTCCTCGGCTTCTGCAGCTCCCCGCCACGTTACGACGACTTCGATTGCCTGTCGTAGAACGCCTTGGCGTGGATATGCCATCGCTTGCCAAAGTTTACTGGTTCATGATACCCTCCAAGAGAGATTAGAATGGGGATCCTGCTAGGGCCGTTCGAGAAAGTGTGGTTTTCCAGGCTCGGGCTTGTGGCTTCGGATTCGGGCTTTAGGCTTTGGGTGTTTTACAGCTAAGTTTAAGGTGTAGAGTTTTTCGGAGTGCGATAGTATTTATGGCTTAAGCCTCTAGATCCGAAAACCTCAACGATCGACGCTTGATCCCGAATTTCTGATCCCTGAACCCCAAGCCCGAAACGGAAAACCCGAAGCCCCAAACCCCCGAACCCCTGAACCCCTCACGCGCCGAGCCGCCTTGTACCTGTAGCATAGTAGCCCTGATAAAAATCTTTGCAGTACCCTGTAACCTGGAAGTAGTTTCATAGTAACCCGATAGTGACCTTCATGGTACCCGTTACATGAACCCTTTAGTGTCCGGTATAGCAGCCCTTGAGCTACCCCGGAAAGAACCTGGAACTCTTACAGAACGCGGCGGCATAGTAACCTCAAGCTCTATAACTTTTTTAGTAACTTGTGCCGTACGTAACCAAACCCCAAAGCCGAAACCCTCAATCCTAAACCCTTAATCCTACATCGGTCCTAAGCCCTCAAACCCTGCCAAACCCTCAACCCGATCCGAGGCCCAGTCTCTTTGGTGAGGTGTTCTGCCTCATGGGGTCGCACCGGCACAATTTTGCAAGCTATGGAGCTTCATTCAGTCTTATGAGGGTTTCGTGGGGTAAAAACCCTAAACCCTAAACCCTGTTTTGGGGTCAAGGTTCCGAATTGCTTTGGCCCCTAGACCGGCTCTGACGCCACCCGAAAGCTGCAGGGTTTCCGAGCTCCGATTCCTTGAACTTCCCGGGTTCTCCCCCAGATTGTGGGGAGTAGGAGTTGGGGATCACTCTTCACCCCCGAACCCCGATCCTTTCGATTGCAAGAAGCTTCAATCCCTGAGCCCTTAGCCCTTTAAGCTTCACGTTTGAGGGGCACATGCAGGACTTGAGAGTTAAGTGGGCCCGTGTTGCGGGATGCCCCCTAATGTTGATCAACAGCAGCCTTTTCCGTTTCCTTAGTCTTACTTGCAGGATCTCGCTTAATATTCTTTATTTGAAGATGGGGTTTGCATGATAATCAAGTCACCTGGTCTGCATTGCCCTTAACCTTTTTTTTTTTTTTGCTCTCGGCGTGGGTTTCCTAAAACCCTAAACCCCAAACCCTAAACCCCAAACCCTAAACCCTAGACCCTAAACTCTAAACCCCAAACCCTAAACCCCTAAACCCTAAACCCCTAAACCCTAAACCCTAAACTCTAAACCCAAAACCCTAAACCGGGGAGGGGTGTGGGCTGGTCCTCGGGCCCTCGGGGCCCTACGGGCCTTGGGGGCCTCTGAAGCTTCCGAGACTTGGGATCTGGTGGACAAGGACGACGACGACTACACTACTATTACTACTACTACTACTACTACTACTACTACTACTGCTGCTGCTGCTGCTGCTGCTGCTGCTGCTGCTGCTGCTGCTGCTGCTATTGCTACTCGTTTCATTACTACGATTGCTAGTGCTGCTGATGCTATTGTCTTTAATTTTAGCCTTAAAACCTTAAACCTTCTACAACAGACACATCGCTTGGATTAGTATTTAACTCGATTAAACAAACAATCCCGGGCAATGACAGGTATTTGTCAATCGACATCCACAGCCGCCAAAAGTTCACGCACGTTGAAAATGCAAGCTCAGTTTATGGGGTCTTGAGGGAGTAGAGTTTAGGGAGTTTAGGGTTTAGGGGGTTCATGTGGCAGCCTAAATAATTACCAATCGTATTGTAGGGGTTCCTTACTATAACTTTAGTATAATGGCTCCCAAAACCTTATTCTAATTATTAAGGCCCCTACATTATAGTAGCCTTATAGATCCCTTATAGTAACTCTTAAAGGACCCCTGTTAGGTTCCTTGACCAGCACCAGGCTGGAGGCGAACCAGTTCGTTTTCACTGAGCAGGACAAGAATTTGGCGGGGGTTCCCAGAGCACCGCAGATCTTTTTTATTAAGTTTTTTTGGGTTTTTGGAGGCTTGCAGGTTTCTATTGATGGGTTTTCGAAGCCTAAACCCTAAACTTTAAACCGTTAGATCTACAGCTCGAACAGAACCCGGAAGCGCTGAGCCTCAGACCCGAAGCCCTGAAGCCCCAAGTACCAGGCTCCAAAGCGGTATGTGGGAGTTTCCTAAAATAGGGGACCCTGATATAGTATCCTAAATAGTAGGATCCTCAGTATAAGATAGTATAAGGACCCCAAAATAAGGTAACCCGAACTTTCGGAAACTTCCATATTGCACTAAGCCTAAACCCTAAACCCCTAAACCCCTAAACCCTAAACCCTAAACGCCCCTAAAGAGCCATTGCACCTTAAAAAAAAAAAAACCCTAAACCCCTAAACCCCGAAAGCCCTTTCAGAAGTCCATGTGTTTCTTTTAAAGACCAAGGACCAAGCCCTGGGAGGCGTGGTTGGCACGGCGGTGTCTGGCAAGAAGACCATGGGAACCAAGGCTTCGGCTTCAAAGCCCTGGCTCTTTTTTGGGGTTTAGGGTTTAGGGTTTAGGGTTTAGGGTTTGGGTACTAGGACCCAGAGTAGGCCCTTATTCCCTTTTTTAGGGTTCAGGTTCCCTTATAAGGCCCTTTAAACCAAAAAGGGCATCCTTTTTATGCCTGGGTTACTCTTGGGTCTAGGGTATCTTTCACGTAGGGGCCTTAATGATTAGAGTAGGGTTTTCGGGGTTCCTTATGAGGCGGTACTAGGACCCAGAGTAGGCCCTTATTCCCTTTTTTAGGGTTCAGGTTCCCTTATAAGGCCCTTTAAACCAAAAAGGGCATCCTTTTTATGCCTGGGTTACTCTTGGGTCTAGGGTATCTTTCACGTAGGGGCCTTAATGATTAGAGTAGGGTTTTTGGGGTTCCTTATGAGGCGGTACTAGGACCCAGAGTAGGCCCTTATTCCCTTTTTTAGGGTTCAGGTTCCCTTATAAGGCCCTTTAAACCAAAAAGGGCATCCTTTTTATGCCTGGGTTACTCTTGGGTCTAGGGTATCTTTCACGTAGGGGCCTTAATGATTAGAGTAGGGTTTTGGGGTTCCTTATGAGGCGGTACTAGGACCCAGAGTAGGCCCTTATTCCCTTTTTTAGGGTTCAGGTTCCCTTATAAGGCCCTTTAAACCAAAAAGGGCATCCTTTTTATGCCTGGGTTACTCTTGGGTCTAGGGTATCTTTCACGTAGGGGCCTTAATGATTAGAGTAGGGTTTTCGGGGTTCCTTATGAGGCGGTACTAGGACCCAGAGTAGGCCCTTATTCCCTTTTTTAGGGTTCAGGTTCCCTTATAAGGCCCTTTAAACCAAAAAGGGCATCCTTTTTATGCCTGGGTTACTCTTGGGTCTAGGGTATCTTTCACGAAGGGGCCTTAATGATTAGAGTAGGGTTTTTGGGGTTCTTCATGAGACCTTGATGATTAGAGTAGGGTTTAAGGGGGGTTCCTTCTTATGATGATCGCATAATATACCCCAAGCCCTGTTCTAATTATTGAGGCCACTACATT